TAGTGTACAATCAGGAGAGAGGGGAGGGTTAGGCACTGTAGTGTACAATCAGGGGAGAGGGGAGGGTTAGGCACTGTCGTGTACAATCAGGAGAGAGGGGAGGGTTAGGCACTGTAGTGTACAATCAGGGGAGAGGGGAGGGTTAGGCACTGTAGTATACAATCAGGGGAGGGGTGTTTAGGCTACAGGTGTGCGCAATCAAAAAGGAGAAGTAGGAGGGGATTAAGGCGTAGTCGCGTGGAATCGAGGGAGCAGCATGTTACTGCTGCACATAGGAGGAAAACCCTGGAAATATATGTAAAGAGAAGGCGGTGCTCGTGAGAGAGGGCGCAAAGCTGAGAGACTACCTCCTGGTGGATCGCCGCACATCGCGTCAGGGGAGAGAGAAGTATAGGTTCCGAATAGAGAAGGAGATTGGAATAGAGATAGAATAGGAGAGTGGTCCTCCTATACGCCGCTTCTATATGCACCCCACGCTCAGTTCCAACAACGAATGCAGTGCAGCAAGAAAGATGGATCGCCAAGAAACTCTGCGGATTCTCTCTCTCTCTCTCTCTCTCTCTCTCTCTCTCTCTCTCTCTCTCTCTCTCTGCGGAGAGACGCTGCAGACGATTTTGTTGTTCCTTGTACGTGAACGCACACTCGCCGTGGTGTGTATGTACTCCGACGTGCGTACCCGCCTGCCGACCAACTCTCACTTTGCTGCGGTGTTTCTTACACTGACACTGATCACTTAGTTACCTTTGTACTGTTCCTTCAAAACTGATCACTGTTTACCTTTGTACCTGATCACTGTTTCACGGTGCTGCTGCTCCGGTCGAATGTATTGCAGCGTTGTTCACCAACCTACGCGCTTCCCCCGTGCGGCCACGTATAGATGAAAACACTATCCAAGTTCATCAACCTACGATCCGACTCGCAACTGAAGCGTTTCACCGCGTGTGTGTGTGTTTCTGTGTGTTGGCATAGCGCAAGAAAAACGCACATGCACTGTTAGTGATGCATGACTGTCTAACGAAATGGATCGGGAAGATATCCTATAACATCAGCAAGTCGCACTGCGCAGGTATACATCCACCACGCGTACTAAACATTATGCAGAGGACTAATACCCGTGTTTATGGTCGTGATGGATGGTCCGAGGTGTCCGGCAGACGTAAATAGCCGTTGCCGCGTCGTTCGGCCACCCGGGCGGCGTTTGATGTGTCCGCGTGCGATGCTAACAGTACGGGGTTTGGGTTCGTTGTTCGATAGCGATAGAGATGAATGCGTAGAAACTGGTTCGGCGGGCCGGACCGCTGAGCCTCTTACTGCATCGCTGCTCCCGAGCGGGGTGTGCTGGAATAATGCAGATACAGCGATACACGTGCGCGCGTGTGTGCGCACACACACACACACACACGTGGCGTGTGTGGCAAGTGTGTGTGTGTGTGTGTGTGTGTGTTATATATATATATATACTGCGAGCCGTGTGTGTGTGTGCCCAACGTGCCTACGCATGAATCTCTCTCCTCTACGATAGAAAGGTCTAGACTGCGATCGTTCGGTGGGCGGAGGAAACAGTTTCTCACGAATGCGCATTGCGGCAGAGAAAGATGCTATAGCAGTGATCACGCTAATTTACTTCATCGCCATGATTAGATGAACAGAGCGTATGTTAGTGTCAGGTGTGAAAGGTGGCAGATGTGTTACTTGTCTATAACTAACAAAAGTGTTGACTGTGGTAATATGACCAGCGGCTAGCATGCAGAGGACGAAAAAAACAGAGAGAAGAGGAGTGGGAAGCATCCGAAACACAGTTCAAATAAGTCAAGGCCTTCACGCTACGTGTGGGTGTGGGTGTGTGTGTGTGTGTGTGTGTGCCGGTGTGTGGTGGTGTGTGTGTTGATGGTGTGTGTGTGTGTGTGTTGTGTGTGTGTGTGTTGCGATGTTTGCGTGTCTGCATGTGTTGCGTGTTGCGTGTGCGTTTGCGTGTTGCGTGTTGCGCTGTGGCGTGTAGCGTGTTGCGTGTTGCGGCTGTTGCGTGTTCCGTGTTGCGTGTTGCGGTTGCGGTGTGTGCTGTGTTGGCGTGTGGTGTTGCGCGCGCGCGTGCGCGCGCGTTTGGTCTGTCTGTCTGTGTGCACGCGTCCGCGCGCGTGCGAGCGTTCTGCGTGCGTTCGTGCGTGGCGTTCGTTGCGTGATGCTTGTGTGGTATGAACGTATTTATATATATATATATAGTATATTATACGATATATAAAATAGCCTGCTTCTGCCTATGCATCTATGACCAAATACGACATACGCATATACGCCTCTCCCATTGACACTATTTGTCATAGGAAGATTCCTTCTATCCAAAATATCGTTGTATGTGTTGTGCGCATCATAGCGATGTTAGAAGCGCTATTATTAACGGCAAAGCATTGAATTTCAGCTGTAAAGCGGAACGAAGTTGACTGCGGCCCCCAATTATCTGTCATGCGAAGAATCTTCCTATGGCAAATCAGTGTCACTAGGAGACCATAATGCGTATCGTCGTATTTGTCAGAATGCTATGGCCAGAACATGTTGGTATAATCTGCCCCACAGAAGTCGCACGGGCAGGCAATATATATTATAATATATAATATATATATATACTATATATATA